AAACCAAAATGCCCACCCCTGCAAATAAATATGAGCTGTACATATTTATTTAACAAATAAATACTCTTTAAATTATTGTAAATCGTTTCTATTTTTATAGTAAACTTCATATTGTATATATAAAGTTATAAACAAAGAATAAAATATCAATATAAGTATTTTTACAATTTACGTAAATCAGAATAATAATACTTAACCTAAATGTCCATATTCACTATTGAATCTAACAAAAAAGCAATATTATCCATAGTTATTCACATTGTTATTCACGATGAACAACAACAAAAAATTGTTATTCACAAATAGAATAATTCATACGGGTTTATCCAAATGGATATTGAACACAATTGATCACAGTATGTCGGGTTTTGTTTAGTCAAATTTTCAAGTTTTAAAAGAATTTACACATACAATATTAGTATTTTGGTGCAATGCGTTAACGACAAGGTCACCACTATAATATTATTAGAATTGGAAAAACTTTTATAAACGATAAAATCTTACTTGGTTATTATGATATAAAATTAGATCCAGTGACCAATTCAATTATTTTTTGTTAATTGAATTGTAAATAAACTTATTGTCAATGTTATTATTGAAAATAGAATTGGTGCCAAGAGACAGAAAAAAAAAATTATTTCATATAAAGAAAATTGAACTTAAATCCAAACTGAACATCATTTGCAATTTTAACCACGAAATAATACTTTTCTAATTTATTTGATTTCTAAAAACTATTTAAGTGCATATAACGCATGGAGTCACCTAGTTATCTTTAAAAATGGGTATTTGTGTTAAATTTCTTATAAAAACAATTTCTTAGAAAAAAAAAAGGATTTTTGTGGTCTTAATTGTTTTTATAAAAACAAAAGTTGGTGTTTTCCAAAGCATTAATTTGATAGGTTTCAGTAGGAGGGTTTTAATTGGTGTGTAATGCGATTCGATTAAACGCAGAAAGATAGATATCTTTTATAAAAGACTGTTGGTGTGTAATGCGATGCCTAGTTTATTTAATTGTTAAATGTTTTTTCTCGAATCTTTAGTAATTGGATCTGGTAGACCAACCGGCGTAAGTGGTCTTCCGCTTCCCAAATAAAAGTAATAACAATAATCCGTAAGGGTTGTGACGGATTTGGATATCTGGAATTTTAGAATATCCAGATCGATCGGGGTCCATTGGATCCATGTGCAACGAACTGCATATAGAGAAAATAATTAATCTTGGAAGATCGCAGATTTGTTTGTCTCTTAGACTAATTAGAGTCGTGATTCTCTTTCTTTCATATGCAGTTTGTTTGTTTTCTTTAGATATATTCCCTAAATAA